CCTTCTTTCCAAACAAATCGTAAATTTTTTCCTGTTCCTAATGAATTGGATCCAACTAACTATCCTCGAGCTACTTGGACACTCTACTACGATGCACGAGAAACTTACGGCCCTCTTGTCGGGCTCCCTGCCACCTCTGAACTCACACCAGCATTCTGGCATAACCTCACTGAAGTATTCACAGCCAACGATACGGCATTTCAGATGTTCAACACCTTCCTCAGTCGAGGCGGAGACGTCGTCCCCTGTGACGATACCGATAACTGCAAAAACATGACAATCTGTGATCAGAGAGCCTTCCGTTCTCAGAATAACTGTGTATGCATAATTTATCTATGTAACTAAATGTACTGATCAATCTATCGCTATTATAGGATATAGATGAAGGGGTATTTGGCATGATCAGGAAGAGGGATGTTCGAGGTTCAAGAGAAGCATCAGAATGCGAGGGTATCGGTATCAGAGAAATCTTTGACGAAATCCGTAATTCAAGAACCTGAGCCTCATTCTCGATGCATACAGCCATTCTCAGCTTTTGGCTGTAAGCTACATCAATTACGTCGAAATCTTGTCCTATTACTACTCCTTGATTCCCGCCGGTTGTTCTCAAACGATTTCCTCGTATGCCTGAAGTTTGTCCCACCTGTCGGCCTTGCCCCGACGTTGAGATTAGATTGAGGGTATCTTTCGGCCCGACCGAGCTTCTCTCCTTTCCATGTTTAGATACCGATTCTTATGGCAACATTGACCCAATGTAAGGCGCGAGACTTGCACCTCGCTCTCTACGTCTCTGTATCTCTCCGTCTCTCGATATTCTGGAGAAATGCCTCTTGAACCTATCCTGCTGAACGATGGAAACAAGGTAAGGATTCCGGAGTTGTAGCCCAAGGCTATAGCCATTCAAGAGAGGCTGTTATAGATCCCAGCCATTGCGTATGGCACAGGTTCCAAGATGAAGTACCACGATATTACACAGTACATCGAGCAGGCTATCGAAGTGGGGTTCTCGCATATTGATACCGCTGCATGTGCGTATCTCTTCTCGTCCTATCCACCTTCAATATTCTCTCGTCCAAGATTGGATTGCTCATTGCTTTGCTGCATGCTCAGTTTATCAAACCGAGAAATATGTTGGGAAAGCTATAAAAGAAAGTGGGCTCGCGCGTTCAGAGCTGTTCATCACGACCAAGTATCCTCGAGATGTGCCGATTCAGAAGAGTGTCAAAGAGAGTTTGGCGAATGTGAGTTTGCTAATACGTTGTACATATAACTGACGTATTCTTCTCGCCCTCCTCGAACCTCAAACTCATTAGCTCGGACTTCAATATTTGGACCTATATCTCATTCACCAACCTCTATTCATACCTGATATTGTCAAAACATGGAAAGATTTTGAGAAAGTACAGCAAGATGGGCTGGCCAAGTACGGTGATGATTTTGCTACCATGCACGATGATTATTCTGATTATCTTGTTGGCTTGTTGCTGTAGGAGCATTGGCGTCAGCAATGTTGTCGATGTACAGCAACTCGAGCACCTTATCAAACACTCTGAAGTGAAGCCTGCAGTGAATCAGGTAGATTAAGTGTTACTCTCTACCAGCTGGTTCATATCACACTTTCTAGATCGAGTTACATCCATACAATTACTACAAAATGAAACCAATCATGGATGTATGTGCAAAACATAAAATTGTAGTGGAAGCTTATAGTAGTCTCTCGTACGTTTTCTTTCACCATTCATACACCGTCTTTCCTCTGTCTTCATCGTCGTCGCTTATTGCAGACCGATAACTACATACCCTGGCGGTCCCGTTGACATACCTCTCAAAGCTGCCGCTCAAAGAATTGGTGCCACACCGACTCAGGTGGTATTTTTGTGGGTCAAAGCGAAGGGTGCGGTTATCGTCACGTACGCCTTTCAAATACTGGTTCCACGTATTTGCTAAATTCTTATCTTCGTTCGTTCTCAACTTCAGAACCTCTACCACCAAAGCACATATGGAAGAATACCTTGCTGTGTCGGACTTGCGTTAGTTTATACTGAATTCCATTTGTCGAATCTCTCTTCTAATCCCAAAGCAGCTGATTTGACCAAGGAGGAAGTTGCGGATATCGACGCTGCAGGTGCTAAGGGGCCTCCGTCTGGTATTGCAACTAGATTGATAAACACGAAGGAAAAAGCGCTAGGAGTTGTGATTGTAATGATATTCTTGGTGTATGTATTGTCTGGATTGGGACGTAGCTGTTACTAAATGGTGGTATGCGCAGCTTACAATGTATCTATGTAATTAGCTGTGTTATACCCTTCATGCAGGTTTCAGATTGCAGACAAATACATATCTATCTTTCCCTCATTGTCATTGTTTGCAGCTTGCAGGGAATCGGTAATGGGATAGATTCGGTTCGTTCACGGCTGAATGAAGAGACTCATTAGGTAATATTCCATTCGTACTATTTGCGGTTGAATGCAGGCTGAATATCTGTCAGAACTCCGGACTCATTGCTTGCCCTGTTGTCTAACTGCTATATAAGACTCAGGATGGCTTGCAAATCCCAAGAGTTGTTTTTATTAGACAAAATCTACTGCGCAACCTCGTATAGTCGCTATGGTCTCAAAGATTACAAGTGCGGAACGCGTGAACGTCTTGATCGTGAGTTCATCATCCCGTCCATCTCGTCGTCTTCCTTTTCAAGGTCAAACACAGGCCGGCGCCGGTCCAGTTGGACTTGTTTCTGCACTGCTCCTCCTTCGCGACGGTCTCTCTGTACGAGTCATCGCGAAGGAAAATAAGCCTAGGACTGGCTGTCGAGGTCCGGGTATCCAAGTGAGTGCTGATCTATCTTGCGATGGCTGACTGCTAATCTGGCTATGTAACAGCCGCGCACGCTCGAGCTCTATAAATTCCTTGGAGTCCTCGACGAGATCCTGGCAGGTTCTGGTCCGCATCAGTCCGTCCATCAATATACGTCTCCAGATAATGGTGAGCCTCCGGTCATTATTTGGGATGAATCCAAGGAGAAGGTCAAGGAGAAGGTCGATAAACCTTATGTGAGTAACTAACTTTACAATTGCTTCTAGTAATCTCATTTCTCCCCCTCAAAATTCAACATTAGCTCAGCACCCGTATCATCGCCCAAGTAGATCACGAAGCCATCTTCCGTGCCTGTCTTCTGAGGGACTATGGTTGTGAAGTTGAGTTTGGGACGGAGCTCATTTCGTACGAGCAAGGATCCGACACTGTCGAGGCAACTCTTCTCAGAAGTTCGACTCACAAAACCGAAACCGAAACGACCCAATTCGACTGGCTCATAGGTGCAGATGGAGCCCACAGCGTAGTTCGCAAACATCTGGGTTGTTCTTTCCTCGGACAATCAATCAAGAAAGCAGGAGGAATGCTACTGGCCGATATTCATCTGCTGAATGGATGGGGTGACGATGTGAGTGGACGTTTCTTAATATTCGATGAGCTACGTAGCTTTGTGTTCTTGACTCTGCGCTCGTAACGCACCGCAAAGTCTCGCGTTTTCGTTTGTGGTCGGCGGAAATCTTTTAACTGAATCGATAAACAGCATATCATGGCGTGGGGCGCCCTTGCCGAAAAATCACTTCTGATTCGTCCCTATATATCAGCATTCTCAGCTCAACATTCCACCCCTTCCCAACCCAAAAAGGATACAAGAGTCCAGGTCATGATTGCTGGCAAGGATGTGGAGGACACGATTGAAAAGCTCAAATTGAATGGGGTCGTTGGTGACGGAAACACCAAAGAAAGAAGGGATATGTTGGTAGAGATGATTTATGAGCTGAGCGGAAGGAAGGACTTGGTATTTGGTGATCTTATTGGGATAGGAGTTTGGCGGTGAGTACTTCTTGACATGACGTACCATCCATTCTCTCATTTTCCATGATTGTCTTTCCAATTCGATCTACTGTTAGACCCAATATTCGAATGGTTGACAACTTCGGAAAAGGGAAAGTGTGGATCGCCGGAGGTTTGCATGTCTTTGTTTTCCGTCTTCAACCTCTTGCTGAATTCTCACACAGATGCGGCCCACGTCCACTCTCCCACTGGCGGACAAGGTCTTAACTCCGGTGTTCAAGATGCATTCAACCTTTGCTGGAAGCTTTCCCTTATCCACAAAGGGCTTGATAAGTCGACTTCGAACGAACTTATGGCATCATACACAGAAGAGAGAATGAGGGTGGTGAAAGCAATGTTGAATGTCACAACGAGGTTGCTTAGGCAGACCTTTGGAGTGAACGAGGATCAAACTGTTGATATCGAGGTCAATGCTGCCCAAACTATCAGCACCACAACTACCTCCACGAATTCCCCTGACAAGAAGCAACCTAGTGGGATCCACGTCATTCGCGGCTTTGAGTTGCGTATGTTCGGCATCAACTACCGAGGGAGTTCGATTGTACTTGACGAAGTGGCGCCTCCCGCGGAGGTATTGGACCCATATAAGATGTCCCCCGAGGAACCGGTGAGAGGAGGGGACCGCGCTCCCGAGGCACCAGATTTGAAGATTCTGCATGAAAACTCTTCGGGTGGAATAACGAGCTTGTTCGAGATCTTTGATACGACGAAACATACCGCTTTAGTGTTTTCCCAGTCCCCGCTGGCTATTCAAGAGTTCTCTCGAGCATTGGCCACTTACCCAAATGGCACCATGAGGAGTGTCGTGATTCATCCGCAGGGATCGACCGAGCGGGTTCTGATCAATGGTAAACAGGAAGGAGATGTTGTGGAAGTCCTGGATACGAAGGGTCACGCGTATGGGTCGTATTTGCGTGGAGTTGACTTTGATGTCGTTGTAGCTTCTGAAGGTGCTGTGAATCAAGAAACCGGGGGGGTGGTGATTGTTATCAGACCTGACGGGCACGTAGGTGCCATCGTGAAAGATGTGGCAGGAGTGGACAGATATCGACGGAAGGTGTTTACATAGCAAATCTGTCAACATCAAATGTTATACATACTAGGGGGCACGAAATATGTCCCTGGTAGTATATCGGTTAGTACACGCGCCTGTCAGAAAGGTCCGTGCGCGCGAAAGCTGGGTTCGACTCCCAGCCAGGGAGTTCCTACGATGCTGATCGTTAAGTACAAGAAAATGGTTTTTTCTCGAAAAACTGTGGTATCCATCTGCTCAAGGAACATAGCAAACAAATACTTTCGTCAAGACCACGAAGCGAAAATAGCAAGGATCATACGATGGAGTATTAGTTGGTGCAATTGGCAGCAAAAAAGCATTATATAAACTATCTAGCAACTTGAAGACGAATACAAAACACGGCCTTGACGAGCCTCATTCCCCACCCATATTAGCATAGTGCCCTTCAACCTTTCGATACCACGCCGCATTGATAGAGACACTTTTCATCCTCTTCGCGCTCGCCACATCGCCTGTTAGAATTTTACGCTTCCACTCCTCCATCTCCTCCCTAGTCTGCGGAAGACCTTTTCCATCCGTTTGAAGAACGATCAATGATTTGACCAAGTCGACGTCGTACATCAAGTCCTCGCGACTCAGGGCTCTAGCGATAGTGTCCATTGCTTTATCAAATTCACCCAAACCTTGATATCCTCTTGCTTGGCGTATGTATCTAGTGAGCCTTCATTAGTGAGTAGGTGGGCCGCAGAGGTTATGTGACTTGCGATTTGTTATACGAAGGATCGCTATCCTCTGCTTTTATCGCATCTTCTACGCATCTTCGCAGATCCATCAAACCTCCGGGTAGCAGCCATACATTAGCCCGATTTGCATAGCATATAGCCAGAAACCTCCTTGCCGTTTCTCTTTCAGATTTATCCAAATTTTGCTCTAGAAGGTCTTTAACGCAGTTTCCAGCTTCATGGAATGCATCTGCGGCTTTAAGCCCATCCTTTGAGTGATACGCTGCATTCCCGTCGTCCTTCAAGCGATTGGCCCGATCCATGCCATTTCTAAAAATGAGTCTGAGTTGAGTGTCCTGTTCGCAAGTGTGCTCCGGATTATGAATCTTGTAGGAGAAAGGGGATGGGAACGCAGAGAAAAACTTTCGCAGCTGGCTATGAAAAGGGGCTATTTCGACTGGGAGGTGAAGCTCTTGCGGTATGCATGGACTATGAGGAGGAAATGGATATGATATGCAGGCCTTGATGAATCTGCATCGTCAACGTTTAGTAGAATGCAGACGACAGCGATACATCTAGTACAAGCCTACATGATAATGTTATCCGCAGTCAACTTTCCCATGAAGGTGTTCACTAATCGATACACGTTTTCCTTCCCGACATCCAATGGATTCCAGCAGAAGAACGTGTATCGAGAGAATGCCCCTGGGGTTTCATTGGCAACGGGGTTTCCAGCGATATCAAAATGACCATCATATCTTATTTTCATGACCCAACGCGAACCAGGAACAATTGTGTTGCTCATGGTGCCGATGTCCCAGTTTTGGGGATGTACGGGGTTCGATTGACATTCAGAAGATTTACGAAGAGTAAGGGTTGATTGACCAGGAAAGATGGCAGCAGAGTTCATCGGTGGTCTAGTATAGCTATTGAAAGAGATTTCGCGTTAGAGTTCATTTGATACACACATAAGCTCATAGACCGACCGCGTATAAGGTATCTGTTGAGACGCGTTTTCCTATGAAGACATAGTAAGTTACGCGTCGAGTGAATTTTGGATGCTTGGCGTACCATTGAAATTACATTTGGAATACTACTACGGGTTGGTGCGAACATGGAAAAATCGAAAATCTAAATTACTTATAATCAGCACGATGTCTCACACGGTAGTCATTGCTCTTTGAGCACAACTGATTATCAAGGCCAGTCGGACTTACATCAATAAGAACCAATTGACGGGGTTTTCAGACTCTTGAAAGAGAATGTGTATGAGAAGCGGTTTTATTTGGTTGACTGGAGTGACGAGCCTCGTGAGGTAAGACGGGAATTGCCGTTGCGGCGCAAAGCCGGTCAAAGCTGTTCTATGCATCGATCACTCACTACTGTACACGGTACATACATAGCTGCAGCACAATAAGAAAGCAAATGGGTCCGTTGAAGGTCCTACCATCCAGGTATCATTTATATTTTATTAAGCATCAGCCCTTACACGCCTCTTCACAACTAATGGCATCTGGAGTCCCTGATCCAATTTCCCTCTCAGCATGGGTGCGTTCATGGATCGTAGAGGCACCGTTTGAATATCCAAGCCCCCTGGAGGAAGCTCGAATTCGAATTGTTTCAAGAGACATACAAGGATGGCTTGCATCTCAATCACACTAGAAAGCACAAATAAGTGATGCTTCTAAATTGAAGCTAGAATGGGCGCGTACGCAAAACGCCAACTGCAAAGAATATCCGTTCAGCCTATTATGCACCGGGAACTCATTGAGCCACGTACCCGATACATGCGCGAACCCCGGAACCTAAAAGGAAAAGTAAAAGTAAAAGATAAATTGATGTAGAGAAGGAATTCTTGCTACGGATGTTCTTACCAAACGACATCCTAAGGGTAGATAAATAGGTTAACTTCGGCATATCGGGAGGTATGAAAGCACGCACACGTTCCCAAATACTCCAATCATCGACTGCTGTTTCTTCGACTCTGATGAAGGATCTAAATAACGTGACGGATTCCACTGATCGGCGTCCGGACCCCATACACTTGACGATCTGAGCAGCATACGGGAAACACAGGGTTCAACTCATATGGAAGATAAATGTTGCAACCAGGTACCAACCGATTGTATGCAGCGATAGCGATATGCACTCGCTGACCCTTCATCACAGGTATCTTCTTCAAAACCTCTCCAGAAGTCGATATGACTGGTTGTGCCAGTGGGACTACGTCATCCAAATCAGCTTCGCGTGTCGTGAACTGTACTCCTGGGTGGAGTCGGAGTCCTTCCTAGCATTAGTGAATGAAGAATAAACATCCTGGCTGAAGATTCGGAAAGAATGATTCTGACTTTAATGCAAGCATTCAAGAAGGGCATCGTATCATAATCGTTTGACGTTAGAACAGCATCGTCGCCTCTTTTGACCCACACCGCATCGATTTCTGCCCTTAACTTCTGCTGATCCTCGATTTTCCGACTCAACTCGTATCTGTTTGGGTTGATTAGTAGATATTTCGTGGTGTCGAGCTTGTCATCTCACATTATCCACGTCAATGTACAGGCAGTTATCTCGAATCCGGCAAAAATCATGGTCCTTAACCTCGGTCAATGCCCACTTGGAGATAGAATGGTAAGAAAGAACACTCACGAGACTTGTGAAAGCACCTCGTCATCATCCAATCGTTTCTTGGGATCCTCTGCTGCTTTTGATCGAACTATCATTTGCAACAGTAGTGAATATGGAGAAACCTTGGTTTATGCGAGAACTTACGAAGCATATTCAACATATCCTTTTTCCCTTCAGCTCCCTTCAGGAAATCGTTACTCCCTTGTGCATTTTTTCCACCATTAGCTACGAGATTCGAGCTGTTCTCTTCTAGCAATTCTCTCGCAGCTCCTTTGGCCGCATCTACATAAGCCTTAAACCGGATATCTTCTTCCGTCACGTAAATTCCTTCAAAGTATTCGACTACGGAGTCTGGTAACGCTCGTTTCCATGCTCTCAAGAAAAGAGTGAACTTGGATGGGCGTTGAGAGCTGGCGCTGTCGATTTGACGGTCAATTTTACGCATCGAAAGCGCATCAGATAGGGCACCTACAACATGGTTTGTAAAGCTACCCGAAGATCGCTGGACTTGTCATCTAGCGATCCGAATTGAAAGTCGAAAGAACCTACAAAGACGAAAGTTAGTCCATGAGTTTCCTGAATGAGGAAGGATAATTTACTTTCACCAAGAACATCTAATGTCACCTTTGGCAACCAATGAGAGATATCGACAATTTGAGAATCGGCAAACCGTTCTCGCCACCGAAGAGCGAGCTATCCAGAAAATCGTCGGTCAAGAGTCCGTCAATCAACCGGAAGCGTCAGATATTCACCTTGTCCGAATACATCTGGAACAATGGGAGGAGCATCCGTAACTGAGATTCCGAAAATGCCGGACTAAGTGCTTTCTTATGACGCTGATGTACGGCTCCTATCAACACCGGTGAAGTTGATTTAGCTTTGCATGCAGAAGAGAAGAGGTAGTGCGATGAATACCGGGAAATTTGCTAACCTTGCGCCCAAGTAAGTCCCCTTCCACTAATTTGCTTGATGAACCTGACCGCGTCTCTGGTCTTCGGGTAACGATAGCCACCTGTATTGAGAATATGGTGTAGAGCCTCGGCGTCCGATACCATCAGGATATCTTCCTAATTTTGGAGATGAGAAAAGAAGACGAAGAAGGTGTGTTGTCAGGGTGTAAGCAGGCAAGACCATATGGCTGACTGTACATACCCCGCAACATCCAGCACTACGAAACACAGTCCCATAGTCTCGGAACCATTTGAACTCCAGGTCTCCTACTTCTGCTTGATTCGCTAGTTCGTATTCGTGGCCTGACCGATTTCCGTTAGGAGATTGTTGTATATGCCAGCCGATGAAGAACATACCCAAAAGCCATGAGGATACAGGTGGTCCTTGGATGAACCTCAATGACTTCCGGCGGCGCAAAAGCGAGAGCAGTAAGTATGCAATGGCCGATAGAGGTATCAACAGAGTAGGATTCATAGTGACGGTGGTATCAGGGTTTTATTCCAGTAAAAGTCGTGTATTATATAGGCGTGGCTCTATGAGGTCACCTGCTGGAACGCGAAAGAACATATTAAGTGCCAGTGGCTTGAAGGGAAAGCAGCCCTGTGTGAAGTATGAGACTGGGAAACCTTAAGTGACAACCGGAACGGCATCGGGATGCTAAGACTAAGCTTAAGGAAATTATCCCGCGAAAGCATTGTCGTACAGATTCGATATTTATGTCAATGACTTGGATACGATAATTGTGGAGTGCCTTGTCGAGCGTGCAGATAAGTAGGTGCAATAGGTGCAAAATCTACACATAGTGATAAGCAATTTGGAAGATGTTATCAGACCCCCTGAGACTCTCAAATTTTCTCACCGCTTCTTCAATGCCACTCTCATCATCATT